TTTCTCGCTTTTTGTCTCTCTGTCTCTCTCTCTCTCTTTCTGGCAAGCTCACACGCCCTATAGCAAAAAAACTCTCCAAAAAAAAAAAAAGAAGAAAAAAGAAAAACAGTTTTCATGTTTTGTAATAAATAATTCTTTAAAAAATGACAAATGAACTCTAGATTGTAAACATGTTTGTAAAGATTGTAAAGTTTTGCCTCTCCTACTATGGACCTTAGGACCTTTCCACCTTTTAGCTATTAGACATAATAACATAACACTGCCATGAAAATTCCGTCTACACGGCACTGCAGGCTAAGGCCTGAGCCCCATCTGGAAGATGGCGGCGCTGCCCGCGACCGGCATTACCAGAAACAGCTTCACATGGCCAGTCTCCAGGGCGCCACGCGGAGCATTTTGGTCTCCATCCAGAAAAGAGAAAGAACCCGTGGTGACTGAGACGGTAGAAGTGAAGAGAGAAGCCGAACATATAAACCCCCTGAAGATCCCCAGAGTCATTTGGAGCCTCGTGTTACCGTTTCTGGTTCGTCTGTTCCCACTGACTGGCAGGACGTCTCCGTGCTAGCTGCGCCCCTGAAGGTCAGTCTCTTGGCATTTAGCTGATGACTTGGGCTCTGCCGTGCCTAGCTCCAGGCTTCACCAACCATGTGGGATCAGGGATCTTCTTGACTTCTACAGTGTCCCTGTTCAAGACAGATCTAAATTTGATGCACTTAATGCCAGTAGTCTGCCTCCACATTTGAAAATCACTTGGAGTTCCTGAGCAACTCAGAAGAGAAGCACAATGAAATCATTTCTTTCCCGGAGCACAAAGGCTCCTTATTAGACCTTTCGATACTTTACCATGTGAAATGCTATCGAAACTGTCCTCTAAACACACTTTTCCTGAAGCATACATCTCTTTTTTCCCCTTATATCAGGAATTAGTAAATAAATATTAGTATTTTCTTTTTATTTTTGAGAGTTTTTTGCTATAGGGCGCATGTACTCTCCAGTAAAAGAGAGACAGAAAGTGAGAAATCACCCTCCAGGGGGGATGGCCACGCTGCAAACCCTTCTCCTCCATTCTCTTCTAGGGATCTCGGGCAAGCACACACACGCGCCCAGCATGTGTTTAAGCCACCGGGTCCAGGACTCAAACCATGGTGGACTACATGGGAGTCCAGCGACGTAGCCATTATGCCAACGGCTGGGGCCCATAATAGTACGTAGCCATTATGCCAACGGCTGGTCCCAATAATAGTATTTTCTATTTTCACATTTGCTGAAACCATTTTTTTTTTTAATGGAGTCAGGTCACTAATAATAATTTATGGAAGTTTTCATCTTTGGAAGACATTATAATTGTGTGGAAAACAGGAGGCTATTACAAGTTCAGACGTGGTCTTCACACTTCATAGGCATAAAGAAATAGTTGCAAGAAGACGTTTTAATCCTCTTAGGATTCTTAAAGCTAAGAATTATATGTAGCACATGTACAAACAAGGAAACTTGCAGTAGGTATTTATAAAAGAAACATTAAAATCTGTGGTGTATATTATAGAAAACTGTTTCTTTCCTGTTTCCCATGCAAGTAGAAATAGTAGAAAACGATACTGTTCATTCTGGATTAATCTCTCGGAATTAAACTAGGCGTCTTTAAAAAAAAAGTTCTATCTACACTACTTCATGTGAACACATTTTTACTTCCTTTAGGTATATATTTGGGAGTAGAATGACTTAGGTCCTGTTTTACAGCTTTCCTTCCACTATCCAGAAGCCAGTAAAGATGAACACATTTCAATCGACCCTCCCTCCATTCTCTTTGAATTGGAAATAGTTCTGTACCTTTTAAAATTTATGACACGGACTTTTTTTTTCTTTCTTTCTTTTCTTTTTTACAGGAGGAAGAGAGAGAGGTGTACTGGACAGAGTCTCGCCGCGCTGTGCAATCCTCCTGCCCTGCCCGCCCCTTAGCTAGGAGCACAGGTGCACAGCTGTGCCTTGGCCTGTTAGGTCCAAGAACTGAAGTCAGAGCCTTCCATGCAGCCTCGACCTCCTGCCCTCTTGCTTGCACCGCAGTGCCTGGGTCAACACTAACTCTTAATAAAAACTCCAGACTGGGACCAGCAGTTAGCGTAATGGCTATGTCGCTGGACTCCCATGTAGTTGACTGCAGTTCAAGTCCCAGACACGGTGGCTTAAACTCACTCTGGGCGTGTGTGCTTGTGTCATGCCCAAGATCCTAAGAGGAGAATGGAAGAGAAGGGATTGTGGTGTGACCATTCCCCCTGGGAGGTGATTTCTCACTTTCTGTCTCTCTGTCTCTCTCTTTCTGGTGAGTGCACACGCCCTATAGCAAAAACTTCTCAAAAACAAACAAACAACTCCAGACTGGGGCCAGCAGGTGGCATGGTGGTTAAGGCGCTGGACTCCTACATGGCCGACTGTGCTTCAAGCCCCAGACCTGGCAGCGTGCTTTCTCATTTTCTTTCTCGCTCTCTCTCAAGTGCACCTTCATTTTCATGGCAAACGAAATACTTGTCATTATTACCAGCTGTGGGGTCGCAGTGGTTTCCTGGGGCAGGTGATGGTTGGTTGGTTCAGGGCAGGAGGGATGTAGAGGTGATGATGGTTCACAGGTAACACATTTGTCAAAACTCATTGACTGAACTATTCTGTTAAAATCTGCACCTTCGGGACTGGCAGGTGGCATGGTGGTTAAGGGCACTGGACTCCCACATGGCCAGTCGTGGTTCAAGTCCTGGACCTGGTGGCTTGCTTTCTCACTTTCTCTCTCTCTCTGAAATTTAAAGAAAAAGAAAGAAAGAAATTAAATAAAATAATTCTTTAAAGAAAGAAAATCCCGCACCTTCAGGGACCAGCAGATGGTATGATGGTTACGTCATTGGACTCCCACATGGCTGACCATAGTGCAAGTTCTGGACCCAGAGGCTTGAAATTCACACTGAGGAAATGTGTGTGTGTGCCCAAGATCCTAAGAGGAGAAGGGATTGCAGCATGACCATTCCTCCTGGGGTGTGAGTTCTTCTTTTCTTTCTGTCTCTGTCTCTCTGGTGAGCACACATGCCCTATAGCAAAAATCTCTCTTAAAAAAAAAGAATTATTCATTTAATGTTATTTATTACTATTATTCTTCAATTTGACTGGAGAGAGAGAGAGAGAAAGCTGGTCTCCAGGTCTGGGACTTGAACTGTGGTCGATCGTGTGAGAATCCAGGGCCTTAGCCATCATGCCACCTACCAGCACTCCAGGATTGTTTTTAAAAATTTACTTATTTATGGAACCAGCAGAAGGCGTAATGGTTACATCCCTGAAATCTCACGTAGTCGACTACAGTTTGAGTCTCAGACCCGGTTGCTTAAACTCATAGCAGGCGCATGTGCACGTGGGCTCAAGATCCTGAGAGGAGAACAGAGGACAAAGGATTACAGTGTGGCCATCCCCCCATCCAAAGTGATTTCTCACTTTCTATCTCTCTATGGCTGTCTCTCCGGCAAGCAAACGGACTTCTACAGCAAACACCTCTCTCCAAATAAAAAGTCTGCACCTTCTGAGCCACCAGGTGGCGTGGTGGTTAAGGTCCTGGACTCCCACATGGCCCACTGCAGTTTGAGTCTCTGAGCCCATTGCTTGAGAATCACTGTGGTGCATTTTCAGGCCTGCTCAAAATCCCAAGAGGAAAATGAAGAAAAAGGGATTGCAGTGTGACGATCCCCCTCAGGGGTGATTTCTCACTTTCCCTCTCTCCATCTCACTCTCTGTCCAGCAAGCGCACATACCCTATGGCAAAAATTTAAACACACACACACACACACACACGCACAGAAATCTGTACCTTCTATTTATCAGAATAGGAAGTATGCCTCAATGCAAAGCAGTTCTGGGAAATAAAGAATTACCTAATTATTCTGAAATGACCTCATACAAATATATTATTTCAGGACTGATAAGACAGAATTTCAACATAAATGAAAATGCATCAGTCAAGGATATCGTAGTTACGAGAAATGCTGAGATTTTTGAACTGATCATTGGAGTGCCGGCATTTCGCATCATCCAGGACAAGCAGGGGCTTGCGGGTGGGTCTGCACACCTGGGAAGTGAACGCGAAGATGCGTGGTGGGAAACGGCGGCCATGCACGCACGCAGGCTCACAGACCTGCCAGGAGAGTCTGCAGGTGAGTGATGTCAGAAGAGAGGGGTCCACCTTCTGGTCACGGCCTGAGCCCATGCAGGGTGAGGGCCTGGAAACCTGCGGCCTCTATTCAACCCCAGGACCTCCCTTAGCACTCAGACCCGGTTCATGACGCCCAGGGCCTGGCTCTTTCCTTGCTGTGCAGCCTTGGCTGAGAGGTGCCCAGTCTAAGCCTCGTTTTCTTCTCTGCAAAATGGGGGTGCCCGCGGCCCTCACTCCGAATGAGGCTGCCCAGCTCCTTCACTGAGCTCCTGCTCCCCCATTCTGCTTCCTCTGCTGTTCATAGGGCGGGTGGGAGGGTCCCCGCTGTGGCCTTGCGACCTTCTTGGTCTGGGCGCTGGGTGGGTTCCGGGACACCTCAGACTTGCTGGCATGATGGCAGCAGTTCTGGGAGGAGAACAAGAGACCTAAGGAGAAACGGACGACAGGGATCCATGGCAGACAGAGACAGAGACAGGGAGAGATAGCAAGGCAGAGACAGAGGCAGACAGAACCGTTACAGACACAGAACAGACAGGAAGAAGGGGCCGAAAGTGAAGGTGCCCATGTCACGGGGCACTCTTGTCAGGACCGAGCTGGGAACATCCCAGGTCTGAGTCTCACACGCCGCCTGCTTGCTTTGCAAAGCCATGTTGTAGCCCACGATGCCGTGGAAAAATGAAATGTAAGAAATGATAAACTGAGATAAAGAAATGAAAGCGCAAACCCCAACCAGGAGAGCAACCTCTAGAGAGGAAGAAAGCCCTGGGTCGGCGCGGGTGAGCAGTTGGTGCCTCTAGGCGAACATGTCCCGGGCCAGGCCTCGCTTTCCCGGTCTGTGAAATGGGGTGAGCGGAGCGCCTCCCTCGTGGCCCTGCAGTGGAGGCAGCCCGGAGGCTCAGGGACGCTGCTGCCACCTCGAATCCCGCGGATCACCCACATTCCCGAGCGGTGCCTGTGCCGGGACCGCTCCAGCAGCCAGGCCGGCAGCCCTGGGCACATGGGGCCAGCGGCCCTGGGGCTGCCCTCTGCACCCGCCGCCCTGGGTTAGCCCATCCGAGAGAGGCCGGATCTGGGATTTAGGCGGAGAGGCTGTGGGCCCTGGGCAGTCAGAGTGTGCCGGGAAAGAAGGGTCTGCAGTTCCAGCCCCAGCCTGGCCTCTCAGGACTCAGTGTGTCTCTGTCCTTAATGACCAGTAAGCGTTCTCTCCTGCAGGACCAGCAGGTGGTGTGGTGGTTGAGGGCACTGGACTCTCACATGATCGACCAGGGTTCAAGTCCTAGACCTGGTGGCTTGCTTTCTCACTTTCTCTCTCTCTCTCCCCTCTCTCTCTCCCACTTGTTCTCACTCTGTCCCTCTCTGGTCAAATTAAAATAAAGTTAAATAAAATAATTCTAAAAAAAAAAAAAAAGAGAGAGACAGAGTTCTTTCCAGGACCAGTAGATGGCGTAATGGTTACATCACTGCCCTTCCACATAGTCAACTGTGTCTCAAGTCCCAGACCCGGTGGCTTAAAACTCATGTTAGGCACATGTGTGTGCATGTCCAAAATCCCAAGAGCAGAGGAGATTGGAGGGGAAGGGATTGCGGCATGGCCATCCTCCCTCAGGAGTGATTTCTCACCTTCTGTCTCCCTGTCTCTCTGTCTCTCTCTCTCTCTCCAGCAAGCACATGCACCTTATAGCAAAAATTCCTCTAAAAAAAAAAAAAAGAATTCTTTCATCAGGACCTGATGGAGTGGTGGTTAAGTCACTGGACTCCCTCTTGGTTGACTGTGGTTCAAGTTCTGGCCCAGGTGCTTGCTTTCTCACTTTGTCTCTCTTTCTCTCTTTCTCTGATGAGCACACATGCCCGATACCAAATTTAAAAATAATAATGATAATAAATAAAATAAAATAGTTCTTTGCAAAAAAGAAGAGAGTTCTTTCTCAGGGCTGGGCAATGGTGCAGGTGTAAAAGGCCTCCTTCTTTGGGGCAAGACCACATCCTGGTTTGAGTGCGGGGGCTCCCTGAGTATGCTGGGCCTGTGTGTGTCCATGGTCCGAAACTGGATTGCAGCCTTGAGATCTTGCAGGGGACAGAAGTCAGGGGCTGTTCCTCTCTGTCTCTGTCTCTCTAACTCATGGAAGAAATAAATAAATTTTAAAAAAAAAACAATCCCGGGGGGCTGGCAGGTGGTGTGGCAGTTAAGCCACCAGTTTCCCATGTGGCCAACCACAGTTGGACCTAGTGGCTTCCTTTCTTTCTCTCCCTGGTCAAATTGAAGAAGAAGAATAAATAAAATTAAATGAAAAAACATTTTTTTTAAAGACTTTTGCTGTAGGATACCTGCATTTACCGGAGAGACAGAGAGACAGAAAGCGAGAAATCACCCCCCAGGGGCATGGCCACACCACAATCCCTTCTCCTCCATTCTCCTCTCGGGATCTTCGGTGGCTTACACACACATGCACCTGGTGTGAGTTTCAAGCCACCAGGTCCAGGACTCAAACCGCGGTCAGTCATGAAGGAATCCAGCGACATAACTATTTTTATTCTCATGAATTATTTTTCACTTCTCTGCCTTCATCAGCCCACAGGGGAGGGCAGTGCACTGGGACCCCTCAGAGATGGAGATCAGGGCCCCAGGAGGAGGGTGTGGGGCCTGCCTTACCAGTCTTGCCCTGGGGCCAGGGTCTGTGCCAGGTTTGGACAGAGGAGGGGAAGGGCAGGATGAATCACCAGGGCGCACCCTGATTTGCTTTTACTTAAAGTCCCCAGGAGGCCTGCCGCCACCACTGCAGCTCTGCCTCTGTCCCCGCCATGTCAGGGAGCTTAGTGAGTGTCCAGGAGGCTGAGGCTGGGGCTCGTGGGCCAAGGCTGGGCCGGGAGGCAGAGTCAGGGCATGACTTAGGTCTCCCCTGTCAAAGGAGGACGCGGGTGTGCTGTGAGCTGTCCTGGGCTTTGGCCTCACAACTGGCTCTCCTGTCCCCACTGTCCTCATCTCCCTCTTTGTGGTCTCTTCTTGCCTTTTTTTTCTATACATTTTTCTGTTTTTTCTTTTCTCCCCCATCTCTGTCCCTGCCTCTGTCTCTCTTCCTCTCTGACTCTTTCCTGTTGGTCTCGGTCTGATCTGCTCCCCCCCCTGGGGTGGCCCCCTGTGCCTCCCTATGCCTCCCTGCTCATGTCCCCCAAATCTTGCTCTTGCAGAGCGTGCCCCACAAGACCTTGCTGCCCGAGGGCATCCGCCCAGGCACCGTGCTGAAGATTCAAGGCATCGTTCCTGAAAAGGCCAACAGGTGAGACCCCAGGACCTGGGGACGGGAGAGAGGTCTCCGGGATCAGCCACGCCCCAGTTCTTATAGCCCAGAGACGGGGGGCCCAGGGCCACTTCGGTCTGGTGGTCTTGGCATCCCCAGGCATTTCTATTTTATTATTTTTAAAAAAAGAATAATTACTATTTTATTTAACTTTATTTATTTTAATTTGACCAGAGAGGGACAGAGTGAGGAGAGAGAGAGAGAGAAAGTAAGAAAGCAAGCCGCCAGGTCCAGGATTCAAACCACGGTCAGCCATGTGGGAGTCCAGTGCCCTTAACCACCACACCACCTGCTGGTCCATTCTCAGGCATTTCTGACCTTCAGAAATCTTCAGAATTTATCATAAATCTGATAGATTCCGGGGACCAGCAGTTAACGTAATGGCTACATCACTGGACTCCCATGTAGTCGACCGTGGTTCAAGTCCCGGACTCAGTGGCTTAAACTCACACCGGGCATGTGGCAAGATACTGAGAGGAGAATAGAAGAGAAGGGATTTTGGCATGGCCATCCCCCCTGGGGGCTGACTTCTCCTTTTCTGTCTGTCTTTCTGGTGAGTGCATGCGCCCTTTAGAAAAACCTCTCCAAAAAGAAAAAAATCTGATGGGTCCCTTAATTGTCCCAAATTCGTGTGGCTGGGCCCCAGTCTCCCTAGAGCCTGGGTTCTGAGACAATCCCTGGGCTCCTACCTTCAGTCCTGTGACCTCCAGGGCTGAGTCCCTAGACTCACAGGAGGCCAAAGCAGCAAGCCTATGACCATGTGGGTGGGAACTTCAGGCCGTCTGGGGGTCTTGGGCTACCTGGGAAATGTTAGGGTCCTTCGTCTTGTTCCCAGTCCTTGGCCATCAGACCAGGGCCCTCCTTCTCTGGTATACCCCAGTTTCTGGTCCCTGTAAATGAGGAGGTTCTCTGGAACAGGGATCGTTGTCTGTAGTCATTGGACTGTTCTGGGGTCTGATTCCCACGCCTGCCTCTTCCAGCTTTTATGTAAACCTGCTGTGCAGCGAGGGGGAGGACGCAGACGCCGCCCTGCACTTCAACCCCCGGCTGGACACGGCCGAGGTGGTCTTCAACAGCAAGCAGCGAGGCAGCTGGGGCACGGAGGAGCGCGGCTCTGGCGTCCCCTTCCGCCGTGGGGTGCCCTTTGAGGTGCTCCTCATCGCCACCGATGAAGGCTTCAAGGTAGGTCTCTGCCATGGGTCAATGCCACCAAGGCGTGGGTCCCTGGCAGAGGGCTGGGCGGGCGCTGAGACTGGGGAAGCCAGCTAGGCCTGCGGAGGACGTAGGAGGCAAAGGCGAGGCCGAGGCGGGCAGGGGCGTCCCCCGCACCCTCTCACTTGTCTGCCCAGCCCACTGCCGGTGCGGTCAGAGGGCGGCACTGTGGGGGGGCCAGGGCTGGGTGAGCGAGAGCCGAGTGCCCAGACGGCGGGTCCTAGCGGGAGGGCGTGGGCCCCGACTAGCCACCCTGGACCCACCCCTGGTCATCCATCCTGAGGTCAGGGCCCTGCAGCAGGAGTCGGGGTGAGCTGGAGAGGGCACCCAGGGACACGTCCTGGTGGGAAGTGGATGTGCAGGCCTCCACCATCCGGGCCACTCACCACTTGAAAGGTGGCTTCAGTAACCGGCAACGGGCTCCAGAATGATGGCAACAGCAGCCCCAGCACGGACAGAGCATTTCCTGTTGTTTTGTTGTTGTTCTTTTGTTGTTTTATTTATCTATGTATCTATTTGTTGTGATTTTCAAGCCACTGGGTCTGGGACTTGAACATCGGTCCGTCATATGGGAACCTAGTGCCTTAACTACCATGCCACCTGCTGACCCTGAAACTACTTTTTCACTGTGCCAAACAGTAACTCCACGGGTCCCTACAGTCGATTCAAATGAACAGTAGTCTTATCTTCCCTGTGGGGAAGCTGAGGCCTTGGTGGCTTCAGTGATTTCTCCAAGTCCGCACGACGTGTGTTCGAGTCCAAGATCCTGACCATAGACCTTGCCCCTGCAGGCTGTCGTGGGGAACTCGTTGTACTACGTGTTCGACTACCGGATCCTGCCGGTGCACGTGCGCCTCATGGAGGTGGGCGGGGACGTGGAGCTGGACCTCGTGAAGATCCTCTGAGCGGGGGTGGGTGGAGGCCTGGGTCCTGGGGAAGGCAAATAAAGTCTTAGCCCCCATCACGCCCTACTGTGTCTGTCTCTTTAATACAAATGAGGAAACTAAGCTTCAGGGAGAAAGATACCGACAGGGTCTCCCAGCAAAACCCTGGCCTCGGCAGGATTAGAACCTGCTTCCGCTTAGGGCAACCTCTGTCTGGGGAGGCCTCGAGGATGTCGCGAACTGCTCGGGTCTGGCTGGGCCTGTCCTATGCAGTGCATTGCAGAGCAGGCCGTGGGAATGGGAATGGGCTTGATCACAGTGACCTGGCGTTTGGAGGGGCCCAGGGAAGGCTTGCTGCGCCCTCGTAGGTCTCCTAGCAACAAAGGACATAGGTCCACCTGCAAGAGGGGGACCCGAGCCCCCACCTTCCTGGCCATTCAGGGACCCAAAGCCACGCAAAGAGGGTGCGTAAGGTGGCCCCAGCCCATTTTCTTGACCCTCTCCCTGTCATCTGTCCTACTCCCTTCTCTGGCCTCCTAGACCCTGGAGGTCACAAAGCCCCTGGCCTCTCTCCCAGTTGGGATGGGTATTGTCTCAAACACCTGCCAGGGAGATGCCACCACTTTGGTAGCATGCTCCCCCCAACCCTGCCCCACTTCCCCAGTGGCCACAGGACAGCAGGCTGGCCCGGGAGTCCTGCTTGCTAGAGGCAGCCCCACTGTCTCACAAACTCATTCTGCCCTCTGCCCTGCCCCCGGCCCTACCCCAGTAACTGTGAGGGGGAGGGAATGTGGGTGCTAGGCCTGAATTTTAGGTTTCGGAAGTCACTAGGGATCCCCTTCATGGCAGGGGTTGGGGAAAGGTGGCCCTGAGTCCCGCCGGGGGTGGGAAGCATGGCTGCTATTTTTCCCAGTAGGAAAGGGTGGAGAGCTGGCCGGGACGCTGCAAGCTAACTGCACTGGGTCTTGAGGCCAGTGTTTCCAGAACAATCGTCCTGAGCCAGTCACAGCCTAGCTGGGTGAGCCCATAGCATCGACCCAGACCCTGACTTACAAACGGTGGTTCCCCGGGTAGCTGCTCCAGAGGTCCCGGCCCAGCCCAAGCCCAGGAAGCTCAGCCGACTCCGGGTCAGGCCCGAATCTGATTGTGGCAGTGATGGGGACAAGAGAGCCTGGCTGCTGTGCCCCAGGCCTTGTAGATCCGACACTTTTTGCCCTTTCGATGCTCTGGAGGGCTGTAGCCATTCCTCCCTGTGCCAGCCCTTGAGTGGGTGGGTTTCAGAAAGGAGGGGGTCTTACTCTTGAAATTGGAGACCCAAGACAGTCTGATTTTCCATAGCTCTCCAGAGCCTGTTGTTAAATGAGTTCAGTTTTGTCTTTCTTTTTTAAAAAAAGAATTATTTTATTTAACTTTATTTATTTGTTTTAATTTGACGAGAGAGAGAGAGAGAGAGAAAGGGAAAAAGCAAGTTGCCAGGTCCAGGATTCAAACCGCAGTCGGCCATGTGGGAGTCCAGCGCCCTCATCCACCATACCACCTGCCAGCCTCACAAATGAATTAATCTTTATTTTCTTTGGCTGTATCAAGTAATTACACAATGTCCTAGTGTTTTTCTGTAAAGACAGCACATGTGGGCGCTGGACAGTGGCACAATGGCAAATGCTAAGCTCTGCAAGGAAATCCCACCTGGGAATCTCGCCGACTGTGAAGCAGGCCAGTTTAAGATTTGACAGGACTGGGACCAGCAGTTAGCATAATGGCTATGTTGCTGGACTCCCACGTAATCGACCGCAGTTCGAGTTCCAGACCCGGTGCCTTGAATTCATGCCAGGCACATGTGCATGTCTAGAGATTTTCTCATTTTCAATTATCTTTTAGAGAATATTTTATTTTATTTATTAGAAGTTAGAAATCTTGTCTATGGCTCAAATACATTTAATGACACTCATCAGGAACAAATGGGAATGATTCTCCTCAAACAATTCAGGATGTCATTTAAAAGTAACCTTGGGACTAGCAGATGATGTAATGGTTACGTCGCTGGACTCCCACATAGTTGACTATGGTTCAAATACCAGACCTGGCAGTTTAAAACTCATGCCAGGTATGTGTGCGTGCATGCCCAAAATCCCCAGAGGAAAATGGAGGAGAAGGAACTGTGGTGTGGCCATCTCCCTTCAGGAGGGTGACTTCTCACTTTGTCTCTGTCTTTCTCTGTCAGTCTGAGTGCACACTCTCAATAGCAAGAATCTCTCCAAAAATAAAGAAAAACAAAAACCCTGAGATTCGGGGGCCAGCCAGGGCATGGTGGTTAAGGCAGCTGGATCCCACATCGCCAACTGTACAGTTCAAGTCTAGACTCAGCAGCTTGAAAAATCATATTGGGGGTGTGTGTCTGTGTCCGAAATCCTAAAAGGAGGGCCAGCTGGTGGCATGGTAGTTAAAGTTCTGGACTTCCACATGACCAAGTGCGGTTCAAGTCCCAGACCTGGCAGCTTGAAAATCACACTGTGTGTGTGTATGTGAGTCCCCAAATCCCAGGAGGACAATGGAGAAGGGATTGAGGCATGGCCATATCCCTGGGGGTGACTTCTCACCTTCCCGCTCACTCTCTCTCCAGTAAGCACACACACCCAGAGAGAGAGAGAGAGAGGAGAAGGGATTGCAACGCGACCATTCCCCATGGGGAGTGCTTTCTCTCTCTATGGTGAGTGTATGTGCCCTCTGGTAAGATATTTTTCAAAAATTGAGAGAGATTTATAGCATATATACAACTTTATCTTTTTTTTTTTTTTTTTTCTTGCCAAAAGAGACAGGGGGCGGGGG